CGCCCCCTGTGGGGCGGGGCAGCGGGGGCCCAGCAGCCCTGCGGCAGGGCACGGGGATGGAAAGCTGCGGAAAGCTGGCCGTGGAGGGACAGGGTTATTCCAGGCATGCTTGGCTCAGGGCCTGCTGGGAATCTGGACCGGGATTGTGGTCTCTGCGTCAGCCTTTAGGAGGTTAAGTAGGTCAGACCCGTCGGAGTCTGGCAGGGACAGCATCATGCGCAGCAGCTGATTGCACCTGACGAAGCATCTTGGTTTCCAAAGCAGCCCGTCCGTCATTCCGCCGGAGCTCAAGGTCACAGGAGAACTCACAGGTTGGCGCTTGTGAATAAAAGGGGGGGCACGCCTGGTATTGAACTGCAGCCACCTCTGGAGTGGGGCAGCTGGGGAACAGCCACACATGATGCCACAGGACAGCTCAGGGCATGAAGCAAAGACTAAGCCAACATCCAAGCACACGTTAGGGAGGGAATTAGCAGGAGAAAGGAAATTGGTGAGGAAAGCTGCGTTCATGGTAGTGATTTAAGTCTGCAGAGCTGTTGAGCTGGGGGAGCTGAAGGGGTCAGGGAGATAATAGCAGGGCCTGCGTTGGGTTTTACGTCCCCTGCTCCAGCGGGGTCATTACGATTCCTCTCATGACTCTCCTGCTACATACGTTGCCAACAGGGAGCAATAGAGACATTTCGTACCAGGAACAATCTCGAAGGACAAGGAACAGGTTCTTGGTATGGGGCTGCCCCCCGCCCCCATCTGCCTGAGGGCAGGGACGGACGAGTGGGGTCGAGAGATTTCATCCCTGAGGCTGCAGCAGCCCTTAGCCCTGGGACCCGGATTTGCAGCCCATCTGGTTTCCTGAATGACTTCGCTTTGTGACCCAAATGGGAGGGCAGGACCCCTCGCTTCTCCCCTGGAGGCTGGGGCAGAAAGGATCCAACTCCCTGCGGCCAATGGGTCCTTTCAGCAAAAAATGTTTCTCCTTCCCACACCGGGAGTCGAACCCGGGCCGCCTGGGTGAAAACCAGGAATCCTAACCGCTAGACCATGTGGGACTGAGCTGGTGCTGCATTTCCGGGAGCTGGCCTGGGGAGTGACCACAGAGCATTACAGCACCACCTAGCGGGGGTGCTGGGGCACTACTTGGACCATGGGGCAGCCCTAGACACTGAAATGTTTCTCCTTCCCACACCGGGAGTCGAACCCGGGCCGCCTGGGTGAAAACCAGGAATCCTAACCGCTAGACCATGTGGGACTGAGCTGGTGCTGCATTTCCGGGAGCTGGCCTGGGGAGTGACCACAGAGCATTACAGCACCACCTAGCGGGGGTGCTGGGGCACTACTTGGACCATGGGGCAGCCCTAGACACTGACAACTCCATGCTCCTCCTCTGCTGCTGCCAGGCCCTCCCCCATGC